AATGTTTTATCTAATTGCTCGCTTATATCAATATGTCCTCGTCCTCCTAAATATCGTGGTAATGTCGTTCTTTCTACTGCACTCTCTAGGATGGTGTTTTTTTGTGCCTTTGTGAGGTGTGTTCGTACTTTTTCTCTGAAGACTTTCTATATCCGTTTTAAGTCCACTTAATAATGCCAAATGAGTAGCTAAGCGCGGAAAATGCGTAGGTGTTTATCGTATGAACTCTGATGGTAATTCGATTTTTCCATTTTGTTTATGGTCAATTTTCCGCCTTGCTTATACTCCTAGATATTTATACATGTCATTGTCGCCCATAGACCTCGATGTTTTGGCCATTTTGCATATCGAACCCCGGTCTGAACCTTTCCTTGACTTTATTATTATAAAAAATTATTATTACAAAAATATATAGTATAAAAAATATTAATAAATTATAATAAAAAAAATAATAATAATTCTATTTCAGGTAAATAGTTTTCATATTTTGAAGGTCAAATATTTACTGAGGGCTTCTCGTTTGAAAAAAAACAAAATGATTATTCGGTTTTCATTTATTTATAGAAACAAGAAGGTTTTAATTTCATATCTATGTACTGTTTATACCAAAAGTGAATAAAAAAATATGCATATTTTAGGACGACTGTTACTCTGACTCCACACGCTGACAAAGTTCCGATTTAATTAATAAATCGCTTGTTTCCTGTTTTTCCACAGTCAAGAGACACGACGAGAGAACAATCACGTGTTCATTTTCAATTCGATAAGCCTTCGAGGCACGCTTAAAATACAGCTATCAAATCAAATCAAAGTTCGCCTCGGGGGAATTAACTCTTGTTCCAACTCGCGTCGGTAGAGCATCCCTCCCGTCCTCCGGCTTTCACCCTGCTAGCGACAAATTGCACACATCCACAGGTCCAGGACATCCACTCTATGTAAACATTGATCTTGAGATGGCCTGTGTTGATTGGACCTCGCGACACCTGGGCGTTGCTAGGCAACGTCTGGCCTAGGGCGGCCGCGTTGCTAGGCTACGGCGGCGCTTTCGAGGGGTGCCCCTCGATCTCGCCTGTTCTCGTCGTCTGCCCCCTCGCCCCATCCCTTCGACCGATAAGGGTTGACATGTGTGTGTGCGATTTATGCGTATGGGCACATAAGTGTGTATATGTCGGATTATTAATTGCTCCTACTCAACAAGAATTGGTTTTGATTTAAGGGTGAACATGCTTGCAGGCAAACGTAAAAGGTTTCACCAGAGATGGATTTGGAAATACACACTTTTAGCATAGTCTTTGTACATTCTTCTTTATATACATAATTTATAACAATACGAGTATTAAAAAAATATTTCGTATTTTTTATGTATATTTTTAATACAAGGATATTTTTAATATAAAGACAGATTATATCGAATTTTATTATTTCTTTTATGTTCAACCAGTAACTAGTGAGGTCCATTTTTTGTTACGTGTATGGTGAGTTGGGGTCCCACTGACCCCAATTTGTTTTGCAAAATTAGACATTGATATTTGTTTATATTTAAAAAAAATGACTTCAATAACTTAAAGACGTTTGTTTATTTTGTTATACATAAATTTAACAAATATTTGAAATACTTATCACGCATAAAAAAATTAAACTAAGAAACAGCCTCAAAAACTGAGCTATTTTGTAACTAAACTAAACATTATTGTGTAACAAAAAAATAAGGAACAAAACAATGTTTTTTTTTTCTTAGAACATAAACTTAAACATTCATTCTAACCTACCAACACAAAAAAATAAACAAAAACAAAAAACATAATAAAAACTACAATCTATTCTTATAGGCAATCTTTGCAAATGTTTTGTTTCACACATGTGGCATATTGGCGCTTTGCAACTAAGACAAACTACAAGACAAACGTTTTTCTATCCAATGGTCGTGGAATTTGAGCACTTCTCTTTTTTCTAAAATAGCATTTTCTGTTCAGGAATGTCCGTTTTAAAATGGAAGCGATATTATGTCTCAGTTGCCTTGGAATTTGAGAAATAGTTAGTCTTCTTTCCATATGATCTGCACAAGCTGCTGAGCCAGAGATTTGATGAATTCATACCTCGACTTTTGGGGGTTTCTAGATAGGGATGAGTATATTATAAACGCATTGACGGAAGAAATATCCAAAATTGTATAAAAACAAGTAAGAGGCGTAGGCATCGACGCCTCCTTTTGTTTGATTATAAAACTCGATAATTTCGGGTTTGTTTGTTTCATCGTTTACTGAATTACTGTAGTACATTGAAGACATCAAAAGTACCGCTTTTCGTGGTTTAGGTACATATGAAACTAATGTAACTCTATCGCCAAATCCAAATAGAGATGATCCCGTGAGCCTCGTTTTAGTTGGCAAAAAAGAAATAGGTATCTCACTTTTATTTTTTTAACTGTACCCACATAAGTTAGGCCTCGGTTCCTCAACTCAATTAACACTTCTAAGGTTCTAAGGATGTAAATCAGTTGTCTGCTGTTATGTTTGTTAAATTTTCTTTCCTCTTCTGACAATGTTTGGCCATCACTTCCAGCACCTGTATATACATACCCATCCAAAAGTAATGGATTCGGGCGTCATTAGTACCATTAACTTTAAGCCAAATTTTCGGGGTTTTTGAGGCATGTAGGTACATGCGAAATAAACATCTTCCCCGAAAACCAATGAGCATTTCATCAATATAAGCATACTGCCCTATGTAATAATTTTTTTTTGCTGTTTTCTACAAACTTATTGAAAATTGATGAAATGAGGGCAACTTTTTCGGTTTTTAAATATAAAAAAATAAAATTGCTTGGATTCTTTGACCAGATCGGTTATTACATTTCGTTGTGTCTTTTTCAACGCACATTCACCACAAATGTAACAAAAACAGAAAATCTAGAGTTGATAGAAAAAATTGGCCAACAAAAATAGATATTTATCTATCTATATAAGGATTTTTAAAGCTGTCGCCGCCTTCCTTCTTTTCAGCCAACGTCTCCAGTCCTTTCTGTTCTGACGCGCATTCTCCATCTCTAATGGTCTCAGTCATTTCATGCATGGCCTCGTCCACTATCAATTTCTCTGCTACCATAGGTCATTATACTACGTACCAAGGATGTTATAAATTCTCTTCTTTGTATTTCTGGTAATCTGTCTATCCCACAGTACCCCGTTCATTTGTTTAATACATGTTCTTGTCTGTGCTAATCTACTGGTTATCTCTTGCTCGATGGTTTCATTTTTTGAGTGTACGAATCCTAAATATTTGAATTTTTCAGTGCCGTTAATTTCCCTATCATCGTCCATTTCCAAGTTTCTCACTGGTTCTTGCTCTGTTGTATAGATATAGATATGATAGATATATATGATAGATATACAGAGATAGATATGTAGCATTGATATCTTCCTATTTATGATAAAATTTGAGGAAGGGGATTTGGTTGCTAATTATTATAATTATAGGGCGGAAAAGGGATCTATGTACATTGACTACCGATTTACAAGGTTAATTTACAATACATACAAGAACGCAACTATGTCGGTAAAACTACATAAAAACACGGATCATATCCCAATCGGCAGAGGAGTCCGACAGGGTGATACCTTATCGCTTAAACTGTTTACTGCAGTACTAGAATATGCTTGTAAAAAATTTTGAAGAGAAAGTCCTGATCATTGACGGTAGAAGATTAACAAATTTGAAATTCGCAGACGACATAGTTTTATTCTCGGACAACCTCAAGGAGATATGTATACGGATACGTGAGCTTCAGTTAGTATGCGCCAGTGTGAATCTTAAAATAAACATCTAAAAAATAAATTTCATGATAAACCTAGTACCTAGCGGAAATATCAATATGGGAGACAATGGAGTAGAGCTGGTGGAAAAATACATATACCTTGGGCACGAAATAAAGATCACAGGAGACAACCAAACATGCAAACTACGAAGAAGGAAACCTAGCATGGGCAGCCTATGGAAAATTCAAAGATATCTTATTAAAAGGTAGCTTAATAGACTCAAATCTAGGTAGCATTTCGGTGCCCAATCAAACCCCCTGGAAAATTCTAGGTGCGTCACTGTAAGGACCTCAATTATTATAATTGTGGCAGTCCATCCTACGTAGGGATAATTGTAAAAAAATGAATGGATAAAGTCTTAATACACACTAAAAAAAAATGTAAAATAATAATTTTCAATTCTTCAATTATTCTTCCAGCTACTGAAAATTTTACGGTGAATTAAGTAGCTTGTGTGTACGTCTATTTAATAAAAATAAAACGTATTCGAAAGGATTCAAGTCGGGAATATTGACAGGGCAGTCTATGTTTTCATTAGCTTTTTTGAGTACCTCGTTTTTTATATTATATTTGTATCTATATGCATATCAAATCATTTGATAACCATCTCCTCTCTAAGAAAATAAGTGATAACAGTGCAACCCTCCCAAACGAACTATTAAGTTATAGTTTGAAGAAAGATTGTATGATGATGATGTTGACCAACTTTTCAAATTATAAGCACTGCAAAATTGAATAAAAAGACATTTTTTCCCTAAAATTATTAATACAAACTTTTTCCATGTAATTTCCATTGACATAAAAATACTGTAAATTATACAATATTATTTCTTACCTCTGAAGTTTTTTTATAAATTTACATCCCACTTTAGTGTATAGTTTAATAATATATGTATTAAACTAATAATGTAGTCTCTTGAAGAAGTCTTACATACTTGACTATAGAAATATAAATTGGCACAAACTTTATTGCATCGTGAAAATCGCTTTCTGCAGACAACCATCCAATTTGATGGATTTTTGCCACCTTAAAGAAATAAATTCGTATGATGTGTTGCCTACTTCGTAGGTGTTCCATAAAAACTTTAATGTACGTAAATCTATTGTTTGTATAAACCATTATTACAATACAATTTTATTATACAAAAAAAAACATTTTTAAATAAGGACCACTAGTTAATTATTTGATAAACTTTTTAATTTTTAAAGTGACACGTACAACTTTCTCAAGTACAATCTATTATACACCGATCCCTGTTGCGCTTCTATATAATCTAAAATTACAGCATAATCTAACTGACAAAAAGTACAAAATTTCTGCAGCTGATAACAGAGAGAATCCAGTAAATAATCCCATCAGGCCACCAAAATTAGCCAAGAAATCTGTTGGACCATAAAGCTCGTTTCTTTGTGAGGTTAGGAAAGAATCTTGCTTGAAAAATACAGAAAGCTTGGAGTAACGTATACTAAAACAAACAAAAAGTTACTTATTTCAAAATAAAATTATTACGATTAACATTATATATTTGTAAAATTAGTGTGAAACACCCAAACGATTCGATTTTTGCTATTGTCAGAACTGTCGCGTGTCCTACCACGCCAATTATTTTTTATTTCCAATTCTTCTTTTTTTTACTAGACCGACATCCATTCTTTTTCTACTTTAATACATATATGTTTCGGTCATACACTGTAGTTTGACCAATACATAGTATTACTGAGCTCATACTTGTGTAATTTTTCTTTCTCTGTTAAATGTGGTCGTAAGATTTGTGATTGCATGCTTATTTTCATATACTTCGTTTTTTTGGTGTTTAGTATTAAATTTTTGTAGCTGATTCTTTTAATTCTACATACGCCTCTTGTACAGCGTTTTCCGTTCTCCAAAAATTATTGATATCATCAGCATAGGCAAGGATTTGCACTGATTTGTTATATATTAAACCAATGGTCGTGATTTGTGACATACGTATTACTTTTTCCAAATCCAGATTGAACAGTATACCCAGGCGCAGCCCGTTATTTGTTTTAAAAGGTTTAGACAGTTAACTGTTTCAAGAGTTAATTTTGTTAAATTTGTCCTGAATTTGGTGTCTGAGTCCATTCACAAATGTTTTTTAACCAAGAAACTTGTTTTCTTCCTACACCTCTACGGCCCTTTATTTTGCCTTTAAGGATCAGTTGTAATATTTTATATCGACTTTCCCTTACTATATGTCCCAGATAAGACATTTTTTGATGTTTAAACATGTCTTTAGCAGTTCTCTATCTTTGTTGACGCTCCTTAGTACTTCTTCATTCGTTTTCCTTGCTGTACAAGGTATCTTCAGCATGCTGCTTTAATATCTTTCTTTATTCTGGTCCAGTAGGAGTCTATATCTGTCTGGACTTCTTCATGTCATGCCATTTGAGTCCTTAGCCTGCTGGTGATGTCTTCTTCCATGCATCGGTAAGCTGTATGAAAGGATGATGCAAGTACGCATAGACCACATGATTGAGAGGTCTGGTAGTTTAATTCAAAGGCGATTTAGTTTTTGTGAAGGAAAAAGTACGGTTGGTGCAATCGTGAGTGTACTGGAAGCATTGCGCAATAGAGGGGATAAACATCGCTGGACAGCCCTGCTGTTGTTCGATGTTAGGAATGCATTCAATACGCTGCAGAGGAACGAGGTAATGAAGAGCAATGGAGAAGAGAGAATGTCCTGATTACCTGATGAATATGCTGGCGGAGTATCTGTCCGAGATAAGGAGTATAGTGGAAAAGAGCACGATCGTGGACGTGATGGCTGGTGTTCCCCAATGTATCTGTCTTGGCTTGGAAATTACATATTTGGTGATTGATTGTATATTTTATTCTCACATTAGTGGGTGGTCCTTCGAGTTATAATTTATTACATTGCTTTATTAGCCTTCAAAGGGTAGTTAGAACGCCATTATAATTTTTGAATCAATCTTGTGTCACTAGTAAGTCGATGAAAGGTAAGATGTGCCGAAAACATTGGCGCTATCCATGTGAGCGTGCAGAAGAATCCAATGCAGTCGATTTTACATCGCTGACATGACCTCGGCCTTTCAAAGATCACAACTTGGCGATTTTTGCATCATGAATTTTCATCCGTACAAAATTCAGACTTAAAATTAAAAGACACAAACGATACTGTTTAGCTCTAATAAATGAAAAATTATTTATTGTCGTATTTATTACCTAACTATCACTTTAGCCACTTACCTCGCATCAAAAGCTTTCTCTACTCCAGCTGCTATATATTGTTCTTTTTTATCCCAAGGTGCTTGCGATTGTTCAACGTCATAGGTGACATCCGTACATAATGGTTTACAATCACAAAAGAAGTCCATATTTTCATCTTCTATTTGAATGTCATATTGTTCCAGTTTTAATAAATCTAATAACATAAATTCATCATAATATAGCTCGATTTATTAGGAAATGCGAATACATTAGGTGTAGATCAGGGATCCAAAGTAATTTTAAATAATATATCTATCTGACACTAAAAGTGCAACACTTATTAAGTATAAATATATATTCATAATGAGAAGAAAAAATGAAGAGAACATTCCTCTCATAAAGTTAAATGAATGGGAAGAATATTATATGAAACTGTTGAAAGAGGATAGAGTAGAGTACAGATTTGACAAGATAAGGGAATTAATAGATAACAGACGAAAGACAGGAAATCCCTATAATAACATTATCTGAATTGACGGAAACCTTAAAAGAGGTTAAAAACGGAAAAACCGCAGGGTCTGGAGACATTCCCATAGAGCTGGTTAGATATGGCCCGACTGCACTTTTAAAATTAATAGTAGACCTTTTTAGATAGAATATTTAAAGAAGTGCTGCATAATTTAGAATGGGGAGTGAAAGTTAATGGAATTATGATAAATACAATCAGATATGCAGACGATACAGTTATTTTAAGTGATGACATGAATGGATTACAATGCCTTTTAAATGCCATTGATAGAGTGGGAAGAGAGTTTGGCCTAAACATAAACTGTTCAAAAACAAAACACATAGTGTTTAGCCGTTTAGGCACATCAAGATGCACGATTATATGTTGATGGTCATACAATTCAAAGAGTGTCCAGTTTTAAATATCTTAGTTGCCATATTACTGAACAACTAGATCCAGATCAAGAGAAAAAATGTAGAATCGAGATAGCCCGCACGACATTTTTAAAAATGAGGTCATTCTTCTGTAATGATAACTTGAAACTTCAACTTCGAAAGCGTATGGTTAAATGCTACATTTGGTCAGTCCTCTTATACGGTGTCGAAGCATGGACATTAAAAATATCCACCATTAATCGTCTGGAGGCCTTTGAAATGTGGCTGCACAGACGTATACTAAAAATTTCATGGACGGCTATGCTGACAAATGTGGCAGTCCTTGAGAGAGCAAATGCTGCTCGCGAGCTGCTTGATAACATCAAATGTAGAAAGATGGCCTATTTTGGACACGTAGTAAGGGGAGACCGATATAATATTCTTCAACTTATTATGATGGGTAAAATCGAAGGACGCAGAGGAATTGGTAGAAAGCAGGCCTCTTGATTGAAGAATATCAGAGAGTGGACAAGAATAAAGAAAGCTGAGCAACTCTTTAGAATAGCTCGAGACAGAGACAGTTTCGCCATGTTAATCGCCAACGTCAAGGGGACTTGATAGGGCACGTTAAGAAGAAGTAAACCTTTTTAATAAATGTATGTGTGGAGACCAGGAAATTCCTAAAGATTGGAATAAATCTTATATAAGCTCCATATATAAGAGAGGGAATAAAAGAGACTATTCCAATTATAGAGGTATTAGTGTGACGAGCTCTGTGGGCCGGTTGTACGGCAGAATATTAAAGAAGAGGGTGAAAGACAGATACAAGATATTGAAGAACAAAGCGGCTTTCGTACCGGGAGATCCTGCCTTGATAATATATTTATCCTACGACAAATAATTAAAAAGCTTGTCGAAAGAAGTATGAAAGATCCATTTGTATTTATAGACTTGAGAAAGCATATGATAGTGTCCCGTTAAAGAAAATGTTTGAGGTCCTCGAAAGGTCGATTGGATTCGACGTATATCCGAGCGATATATGAATTGTACGAAATGCAGTTAGTTGTGTAAAAATTGGAACCAGAACTTCAAATGAATTTAAAGTCACTAAAGGCCTACTAGCAAGGATGCTGTTTGTCACCGACCACTCTTTAAAATATACGTCCAAGAAGCATTGGGAATTGGAGAAAATAAATGTAGATTATGGGCATCGAAGTGGACAAGAAACTCTGTATACATTGTTATTTGCAGTTGATCAGGTGGTGGTTGCAACCGATGAGAGAAGATATAAATATATGAATCGAAAATTATTTGAGGAATATGCCAAATGGGGGCTTACTGTAAAATATAAGCAACAGAATATTTAAAAATTGGAGAAATACACAGATCTGAGCTTGAAAACGCAGTCATAAATAGTTGCAACCAGTATAAATATCTAGGAAGCATCGTATCAGCAGATGGCAGAGTTAAGATGATGTACAAAACCGAATAACCCAAGGGAAAAAATGCATCCGATTTACTGAATTTATTACTGTGGTCTAATAAAATAAACGATGCTACGAACTTCGTGTATACAGAGCAATTGTAGAACCGATTACCTACTATATGGTGCCGAATGTTGGACGATGACAAAGAATGAACGAGATAATGTAGGGCCGTTGGTGGGAAATGGATTCTCTTAAAAGGTCATGTCGAGCCATCGAGAATGTGAAAAGAATCAGCAAAAGTACCAGGGTTAACGAACAGGTTGTCAGAAGGAATTGGAATTAGACGTGAAATGAGAAAAGCGCCAAAATTAATATTTGAAGGGGGAGACACTATGTCATATTTAAACTTGCCCGAAACGACCACCCCCTCACCCCTCGTTATCATCCCTTTACTTTATTAAGTACTTCATCCCTTTTTTATTTTATATTTGGATTCTACTTTTTGTACTGATTTCAAAAATCTATCACACATTCGGCTTGAAGTGATTAGTTTATGAGATAGATAATTTTTCTTTGTTTCCACTTTGCAGGAAAGAATCGAAATTGTAGGTTTCTACTACCAAAATAATAATTCTGCACGAGCTGCTGCTAGAATTTTTAATGAAACACCCCACATAGACATGCAACTGCATAAGTATGTGATTGAACTGATATAGAAATTTATAGCAATGGGACCAGTTTGCAATAAAAAACATAACCGACTGGGACTCGTAAATAACGGAGCAATCCCAAGTAGCCATTTTATGACAAGTTAACTTAGAGGCTGAACAATCACGGTCAATGTCAACAATAAGCAGAGCAATCAGCGCTTCACCTTCTACAGCCTTCCGATTCTTTCATAAATTTAAGTTCCAACCATTCAAAATTAAATTGGTACAAGAGTTAAATGATGAAGATTTTGATCGTCGCGTCGTCTCGAATTTTGCGAATTAATGGCAACAATGCCAGAGAACTGTAGTTCTTACAATGCATCAATTAATAATCCACAATTGTTAAGCAATATTTACTTTTCTGATGAATTCTCATTTTCATTAAATGCCTTGGTGAACAGACATAATTGCCGATATTGGACTGAGAGCGATTCCACATATTGTGCGTGATTTTCACAGCATCCTAGAAGGTTAAACTTATGGCGTTTGTGGTATCTTAGGGGATCACATTATCGGACCATTTTTTATCAATGGAAACTTAAGTGGTGCATCGTATCTTGAGTTACTTAGGCAAGTCGTGAATCGTATTAGAAAAATAGTAAAAAATAATAACCTTTTTAAAGATTTGGTTGTATTTCAACATGATGAAGCTACTCCACCACATCCGTCTCCACATCCAGACTTTACTCTACCTGTGCGATAATTTTTAAACGAAACTTTCCCCGCTCATTGAATAGGTGGAAGAGGACAGATATTTATAGATTATACTTACGTTCAGCGTCTTTTACGCATTTAAATTTAGCGTTTCCACATATAGCTGTATCGTTTTTTCCTAAAATGCAATCAAAAACAAATATTAGTTTTAAAACGAAAATGTTTATTTGATCAATAGAGTCATAACAAGATATAAGAGTGTTTTAAGATAATATCAAGCATTAGTGTGTATGGTGTGTTATAAAGATAGTAACTTTTTATAGGAACGGTTACATCAAACATCAAAGATACCATATTCCGAGAGACTGCATTGGCCTGCAAGCTAAAACCAGTGAGAGTACCAAATATAGGTCATCAAGTGATTGTATCATCATTCGTCATTGCAAAAAATAACCGTAGGTGAGCAGATTACTCTTTGTCCCTGGGACTGAAAAATCTGGCTCCACAAAGACGAAGTTAAGGGTACGGTAAGAGACGTTTAGACCAGTCCGTTTCCGTAAGATTGGCCAGCCAGTATATAGATATCTACGTCCAGGACTCATCATAACCCTTAATCTTGTCCCTGTAGAATTTAACTGTTAGAAGTCGGTATTTATCATAATGCATGATGTGGCCAAAGTAGTAAGCCAATTTTTTAATTTATTTGCCTTTTCTTAGCCTTCTGGAGAATGATTTATAATTACTTATGTGGTGTGTATATGGCGGCCAGCAGCACTCCCTTTTTACCTTTCTTTTAGAGCCTTCCGTTTAAGCCATCATTTGCCTAATATATATATATATCTATAATATATATATATTAGATTATATAGATATATCGATATATAATGCTTCCTACAGCCTCTAGCCGCCTCCTCTGAATTTTTCGACCGCCAATGTTTTCTGTCCCATCCATTTCGTCTTTCTTGATGGCTCTATCTCTCATTATGTGCCGTACATTTTCTTCCCAGGCAACTGAAGGCCTTCCCCTTCTTCTTCTTTGTTGTGGTATGTAATTTAAAGCTTTCTTTGGCCATCTATCTTCATTCATTCGCTTCACGTGACCATACCACACTAGTTGTCTCGTTTCAATTCTGTCTACACTGGAATATACAGTATTTGTCCTCCTTCTAATATCTTCATTCCTGATATGATCTTTTTTGGATACACCACACGCTCTCCTTAGAAAATCCATTTCTATTACTTCTATTCTTTTTCTATCTTTTTCGTGATCTGCAAACTTCTGCCCATAAGTCATAATAGGCTCTACCAAGGTTCGATAGATTGTCAATTTCGTTTCTTGTTTAATATCTTTAGACCATAGTAGAGAGTTTAGAATGTTAACCGCTTTTTTTCCCTGCTGCGTTCTGTTTTCGATGTCTCTTTTGGTAGTGCCTTCTTTAGATATTATAGATCCGAGATATTTATATTCATTGCATGTTTTTGTGTTTCTAATTTCTAACTCTGGATCTTCTTCATCATCTCCTATTTTAAGATACTCTGTCTTTGACATATTCATATTGAGGCCCCATTTTTCATATTCTTTCTTTAGTTTTCTAAACATGTAGTCCATGTCTTCCTCATCATTCGCTACGACTACCTGATCATCTGCGAAAAATAAAGTTGTTAGACATTTACCATCGCCTATGTCTATTCCCATTCCGGATACTTGTTTCCTCCACTGCTCTAGCGATGATTGAATATATATTTTAAATAAGGTCGGAGATAGACAACATCCTTGTTTAAGCCCCTTTGTTATTGGAAATGATTCAGATATAAAGTTTCCTTCTTTAACGACACTTCTTGCATTTTTGTATATATTTGCGATAGCATCCACATACTCTCTACTGAGACCTACTTTCGTCAATGTTTGAAACAGTTTTTTTCAAAGGTACCGTATCGTATGCCTTCTCTAAATCTACAAACAATAGGTGGGTAGATAGATTCCTTGCCTTCCGTTTTTCGATTACCTGCTGCAGAACGAATATACATCAGTGCACGATCTTCCTGCACGAAATCCATTTTGTTCTTCTATGTCTTCGTATTCTGATTCTATTCTTTTTTTTATTATTCGACCGTACAACCTCCCCACTGAGCTGATAACAGTTATTCCCTATAATTAGAGCATTTGCGTTTATCCCCTTTCTTGAATATTGAGCTGATGTATCCAATATTTCAATCATCAGGGATATTTTGTCCTTTTAAGCATTTGTTAAATAGTTGAACCAACATCTCATGTAATATTTTTGGTCCATACTTTACCAACTCAATTGGGATGTCTCCAGGTCCTGCTGCTTTACCGTTTTTCGATCTTTTGAGGGCATCGTTTAACTCTCCGGTTGTTATCTCAATTATTTGTGTGTGTTCGGATATTTCTTCCATTTCGATCTCTTGGAATTTACATCTATCCTCTGTCAGTAAGACCTCATAATGGTGTTTCCACTGTTTCAGATCTATTAACTGTAAGTTAGATTTTTCCTTTCCTTCCCTCCGGAGAGACTTTATCACCTTCCAAGCTTGCCCAACTCTTGTTCCACCCATATACCTATCCACCTCTGCACATCTTCGATCCCACATCTCATTTTTACTTTTCACTACTTCTCTTTTTACATCTCGATTTAATTTTTGATATATCTTGTAATCTTCCTCCTTTCTCGTTGACATCCATTTCTGATAAGCAGTTTTCTTCTTGTTGACTAACGTTTGCATATTCCCTTCGACCCACCATTCTTGATTTTTTGTTTCAATGTTTGTCCTTTATAAACCCAAAGCGTCACTTTGCAGCGTCATGAATGCAATTTTTAAGTTGCTGGTATAATTCTTCCGCTGATATATTCTTTGCTTTCAATATACATCTTTTATTTTATCTTTTTGTGTATTTGTCTATTTCATTTTATCTTTGCAAGCCATAATAATGATTAAAATTCATGTAAAATTATTCTCCAATCGGATAATAGTATATTACATAACGAGAGTTGTAAAAAAGCTTAATACATGCGAGTAAAAAAGTTGCGGCGGAGCCGCGTAGCGGCCGGCGCAGGTAATTTTACAAGCATGTAGTAAGCTACAACTCCAGATTGTGTACTATATTCTTTTTCTACGATTATTATCGTTTTTAAAAATAAAAATTAAATTACTACTATATTTACAATGAAGAATTATAAATTTTTAATCTTCAAATAACGTCTGTTAATTCGTTTCCATGGTAACTGGACCAACTGATTTACGAGGCTTATGTGATATTACAACATCTTTTATAAAACTGAAGCGTAATTTTTTTTATTACGTGTCTAGTCATTACGTGTCAGTACTGTTATGATGCATTTTACTTAGCATCCAAATAGTAGGTAATATACAATTTACTAGTAAGAGAGTAGAAAAAAATATTATTTTCAACCCCATTTTTAGTGATAATGTGTGTGATTTAGTTTTCTTGGAAAAAATTTTAATATTAAACAACAAGGATACTTACGGGGCATGTGAAAATTGACGCATCCACACTTTTTTAAAGTGAAGTCAGTTAGACATTCTAACTTGCAATTTCTTGGTGCGTATATTTTGAAATATTTTAGTTTTTTCTCAGTTGAAAAATAACATTCTCGTGCTCTGGGTTTGTACATTTTGACTTTATCGGAAGTTGACATTACCTTTGGGATTACTAGAGCGTTAACCACCCTGTTAAATGGAACCATAAAGTATTGACTTTTTAATTGGGGAATTGAATATGGAGCGTGAAGAATCACCTAAAATGGAAAAATATTTTTAATTCATATTTACAAATGAACAGGATAATCTTATACGATCAGATCTATGTATATTTCAATATATTTAACTTATATGTAAATAAATTTTGGGGGTGTAGAGTTGTGTTATAGAGGTAGCACCTTTTATCGAGACGACCACATCGAGCGTCATAGACGGGAGATGGTTCTTGATAACTGGTCCTGATAAGACACTTAACTCTCACTTATGGCTCCAAGTGCTACACTCTGGACAATTGCATTGATCTGCAGGCTGAATTAAGTGAAGGTAGCCAGATATGGCGAAAATTTCACCGACCGATTACCGGTATAAGAAATCCCACCCTTGCTAACAACGGCTCTAGGCGGAAGAATTGGTGGGTGGTAGGGCACCCTTTTTGTCCTGGGGTTAAGAAGTTGGTCTCGAAGGTGTAGAGAAACTAATATCTTGGTCAACGGCTTAAGGATGTAGAAGGCAAGGGGAAATTACTATATTAAAGATCCCCATGGATATCCCTAGTACAATTATCATGGTTTTAGAAATTAATAACGGCATTACTGATCATAGCCCTCGGAAGCCAAGATCCGGCAGGGGGAGAAGAAGACGAATCATTCTTGCAATGAATTAATCAGCGAAATTTTGTCAAAAGAACGTAGATGATAAAATAAGACTGTCCAACACTAAAATAGGAACCTTGAATGTTCAGAGTATGTCTGGTAAAATGCACAATGTTGTTCAAGAAATGAACAGGTTAAATATCGATGAACTGGGTATCAGTAAAGCCAGGTGGCCCAATTAAGGTTGTTTTTTAACAGACAAAGCCACAATATATTATTCCGGTAGCGAGAATAACCAACACAAACACGACGTGGCAGTACTAGTTTAATAAAAAATCGAATGAAAGCAGTGGAATGCTATTTCCCTATTTTAGAAAGGGTAATGATATTGAAGTTAGTGACATCTCATTCCAAACCGAATTTGATACAAGTTTATAGTCCTAGATAATCCACTTATCACCAAGATTACATTCAACCTTTAAAAATAATAAAAGTCATCAAAGAATCATTATAATAGACACATAAAAACTTAAAAAAACCAAAGTAAAAAATGCCTCCAACATGAACTGCATGCAAAAGAAAAATACTTTGAAGAGAAGTGCAAAAAGATTGAATACCTTGTAGCGTTTACGCTACTGACTAGTCCAATTTAAACCCCTCAAGAAATTTTTATTACCGCCTACGATCGATTTTAAATCGACATTTTTCCCCACGCGCTGTTATCGCTTTGAAAGGAAGATCGATTTTATGCGGAAGCGAAGTTTGAGTTTGGTCAGAACTCGTAAACGCAGACACGCCAACCGGTGAGTCTTTTCTCACGTTCAAAGTGACGGAATTGGGGCAAAAAAAATCTAGGACAGAATAAAAAAAAATATATAATTCATAAATAATAATAATATTAAGAATTTTTCTAATAAAACCAATATTCATTCATAAGAGTTCCACAGAAAAAGGAAGATTTTTTTTGGCGTGCTGCAGCTCCATGTAAGTAAATCATTTCATACGTATTATCTCTTTATCATATAATCAAATTTATCATTGTATTTAGTATTTCTTTAGAGATTTATTTTTGAGTTCCGAAATAATTTTAATATAAAATTTCCTTGATTTACTTGCAAAGAACAGAAGGTCATTTTTTTTATATAGTTCAAACTTAAATTCCGATCTATTCCATATCTTATCATTAAGCTTTTTTTGGTTCCCTTTTTATCTAACTTTTTTTGGTGGAATATAAAAAGGTTCTACAAATGTGGACAGCCTTCTGTATTCTGCGCATGTTTATTTCATGCGCAAGCTTGCCATGCCTACGAAAGTAACTTCATAAATTTGACATGATGTTGAGTTAACCTAATACCTAATGTTTTGATGTTTTGTTTTGGGTGCAGTCAATCCATGCTGCTACACCTATTGAATTGTATTTATTAAATTAAATAATAATTTTAGATTCCGTCACTTTCACTTGAGGATATTCTCTTCAGAATATTCCCTCAAGGACTCAAGTAACTAAATTACTTGAATAGTTAGCAAACCCGTGGATTTTGCTGTCACCCAGAGACCAGTGACTGGTTGTGGCTTTTGTGACCAGGATTCGTCTTTACAGCCATAAACTGATGTAGCCGTGCCAAGAGGAGTTTTTCCTATGGACTTATAGTGCTGTAAAGATAAGCTGTTTTAATTATTTGACTTTTGTATTACGTATTACTTTCTATTTACTGTTAACTTTTCATATGCATATGATCAAGTAACTACATTTTGATAAAATATAATTTTGATATTATTGGGGAGAGGGAAAATATATTACCTGTTTTTATTAGTTTTTTTTAAATAGGATTTTAAGAGTACTGACCAAACTCACTTTTGCTATAATATATTTTTTTAATACAATATATTTGATAATAATAGGTACAATTTTGATATTGGGGAAGGGAAATAAATTTAATGTGGTTTTTTTTTTAAATATGATATAATGAGTATGGAACAACTCACTTTTTGGATGTAATATAATATAATTGTAATAGATTTATCGAGTTGATATCTTTATAATATTGTCATTAGTATCTCATATTAGTAGAACTATTTAAAGTTAAATTACTACCTTTTAGTGTTAAGACTTTGGCTATCCTACGGACTATTCTTGGTTTATACTAATATTTCATACTTTATTTGGCCAGTGGTAGTGACTATTCGTTTGTTGAGGGGCTATTAGGTCCATTGTATGTGTACACCATCCACTACCACTGTTATTTGGCTTTGCATTATATGTAAATTGTTTATACACATATACCTATATACATTTTTTATAAATATATTTATTGTTGCTATTTTGAGTTTTATTTCAGTTCTACTAACCAGTATATAACATAGCAAAACAAGATTATTATTTAGTATTTTTGTATTTCAGAGTATTATCTCCAGATTCATTTGTTACTTCAAAATCTCAACTATCGTTGAGTTGGCGCCCTTCTTTTCTCTTCTTATTGTTCTCTTTCTATAAATTTATTCCCAGTGACCTTCTTCAGTTGTATCACGTTTGATATTACCAGGTCTCATTTCTTTCTTGTCTCATTAGCTCATTATCTCTTGTTATTGTTGTTTATATCTTTAAAGCCACAATCCAGTGCATTGAAGCTAGCCCGAACACTCACTTGAGATTTAGTGTCTCTTTGGCCATTTAAATTTGTTCCTCTGAGCTTAGCCCTATTTTTAGTTTTTTTTTTCATCACTTCTCTTTCAGTTCTTCTGAAATTTGGAAGTTCTACACTTCCAAAAACCCAATACTCCCGGAGTATTGAGCGTTTCAATTGGCGCCCAACGTGGGTCGAAATAAATATGATCTGTTTAACCTACACAAGAAAGTTAAAGAATTGACAGGACTAAGAAAACAAAATGCGACATAAACAATTAATGAAAGTCCTGAAACAAAGAAAATTGACTACAACGACCTCAGGATACAACACCTGTCAGAAGATATTGAAATTAGATGTGAAGTGAGACAGGGATGCGTATTGTCGTCAATTCTTTTTAATGACTACTTCGAAGAGATCCTGAAAAACGCTCTTGAGGGTGAAACAGCCGGAATAAAGTGAAATTAAAGTTTCCATTCCACCATTTCCATTTCCACCAGTGAGGTTATAAAAGCTATAGATCAAACGAAAGATGGGAAAGCAACAGGATGCGATGAAATACCAGTCGAATTCTTAAAAGTTTTTAACGAGAACAACCTGAATGTAGTATTGGAATTGTTTAATAAGATATACGATACTGGTCAAATTCCATCGGACTGGTTGAAATCTACATTTGTGCCCCTTCCCAGAAATATAAAATCTAAGACTGTGTAGTGAATATCGCCTTATAAGTTTAATGAGCCACACCCTTAAAGTATTTTTGCGTATTATCCATTCCAGAATACGAGACAAAATTAGAACACAGCATAAGTAAAACACAGTTCGGTTTTAGATGCGGGTTTTGGAACTCGAGAACCCCTCTTTGCAATACAAGTTTTGATTCACAAATGCCTGGATCAACAGAAAGATGTTTACGTCTGTTTTATCGACTATGAGAAAGCATTCGATACTATGAAACATGACAAACTCATAGAACTATTACGTCTTTCAGGACTTGACACTAAGGACATCCAGATTATAAAAAATCTATATTGGAATCAAACAGCCCACATGAAGAATGGACATATGGTGAGTGAAAACATAACCATTTCTAGAGGGGTAAGACAGGGCTGTATTCTTTCGCCACTGCTTTTCAACCTGTACACGGAACAAATATTTCTAGAGGCACTAGAAGAGTACAATGAGGGCATCAAGATTAATGGCGTACCAATAAGTAATTTTCGATATGCAGATGATACTATTATACTGGCCGATAACATCGAAGATTTACAGATGATGCTACATAGAGTTAATACAACTGGCAGCCGATTTGGACTGATGATCAATAGAAAGAAAACTAAATTTATGGTGATCAGTAAAAAAAAATTTCAACATATCGACCTGCATATTGAAGACGAACGTATTGAAAGAGTACACCGATTTAAATATCTGGGATATACAGTAAATGACAAGTGGGACCCAGAAGTAGAGATTAAGATCCGAATTGAAATAGCAAGATCCAAATTCATCAAAATGAGAAAGCTCTTAAGCAACCGCAACCTAAGCATTAACCTCCGATGGCGCGCCACGAAATGCTACGTACTCTCTACGCTACTTTACGGCGTAGAAGGGTGGACGTTAACAGCAGCAACTATAAAGAAGTTAGCGGCTCTAGAAATGTGGCTGTATCGACGCATACTGAGAATACCTTGGACAGACAGAGTGACCAACACAGAGGTATTAAGACGAATGGGTAAAGAGGTGGAATTGTTAACAACTGTTAAAAGGAGGAAAGCGTCATACCTGGGCCATGTGTTCCGTAATGATAAGTACAGTCTGCTACAGCTTATCGTGGAAGGCAAGATTGAAGGTAGAAGAGGTTTGGGCAGAAAGAAGAAATCCTGGCTGAGAAACTTGAGAGAATGGTTTCAAATACCAGAAGCTGCGAACATAATTCATGCGGCACAAAACAGAGAAACCTATCGTATGATGGTCGCCAACCTTCGGTAGAAGACGGCACATAAAGAAGAAGAAGAAAGTTTCCATTAACAACATTAGATATGCGGACGACACTATGATCTTATCCAAAAATATTAAAGATCTTCAGCTAAACTGAAATGAAAATGGGCTGGATGTAACGAACGTCTTAAGGATGGCCGATGGAATAAAGAAATCGGGAATTGGCAATTGGAAAAGACTGCAAATGCGCTGGAGCGACGATATTAAAAAAACTGCAGGACCAATGTGGAAACGTCTTACAAACAACAGAGATGAATCCAAAGGCAATCCGAATAGAGAGAAGGGGTTAAAAAATGAGCTGAACTTTGACGATCATAGCTATAGCAATTGTGGTGTATTTTTTTATAAAAAAATGCTAGTTGACTTCAATAGGCTTACAGGGTATAACAAGAGATAAAAGAAGCGAACAATAGTAAAAGGAAAAGAAGATGAAGGGGAAAAGAAATAAATAGGAGCAAAAATAAAGGAACAAGTACATCAACCAACAAAATAAATACAGAATACCAGTAGATATCAAAATGGTTCTAGACAATTAAGATCTCGATAAATGTTACACATACTTTGGAAAAATTCTAAAAAAATCTTGGTAATATAGCAGAAAAATCCATACAGTGTTTATTAACTTTTATCTTTTATAGAAATAACTTACGCTAAATCCTTGAAAATCGTCTACGCACAAATGGTCCAGATCCGTATCGTTCTGGTACAAAATAATTTCGAACGCATTATCAGCTCCTGCCACAAAAGCTCTATAAGGGTAATTACTCACAGTTTTCGCTTTTCCATACCCGTCTTCCACGTTCCACTCGGATATTATTGCTTCGTGGTAATCTTTAAATTGTACTCTAAAAAAGAAGATATATCTTAAGTTGCTAATTTGTCATTTAGTTTTTTTCTATTGTTTTGAAGCTTTTTTGTTGCATTTCTATATTTATTTCATTAATTCATTAATGCCCAACATTAAATTTTTATTAAAACGAAATCAAAACTTCATAATGAAATAAAGAGAGGTAGTTTTATTAGCAACGTGCAAAATTTACGTTTTTTTTTTTCTTTGTAACTTTTTTTTTGTCTGTTATATCATACACTGGCAATGAAGGACACAATATTTCATAAAACATTATTTATTTTAAAATTTTCACGTGTGATATTTGACAATACATTGTTCTGGATAAAGTACTTCATTATAATTTAATGCATCGATATTTGATTACACTTGCCACATTTGCCGCACCTTTATTATTTTCTCAATTTTGTCTACCAAATGACCCACATTATATTATAATATAATATATATATATATATATATATATATATATATTATATATATATTATATAATATATATATTATATATACTTCACTTCATTGTTGCGTTGTTCTCGTTTTTTTTGTATGGTATTCTTTGTTTTGGTTGGCATCTGTTATAGGCTTTGCCTCTTCGGATGTTATATATAATATATAGTATATATACTCGAAGAGGCAAACCATAACAGATCCAACCCAAACAAAGATACCATACAAAAAAAAAAAAACACAGATTACACCATATATATATATATATATATATATATATATATGTGGCTAAAACACCCGTACGGGGTTACGCCGCTTAAGCTCTCTAGATCTATTTTACGAGGTAGATCAGTCCTCATTCTTCTTTATTTAATTTTTCTTGTTATTTTTCTCCACTGTTTCCTATCTCTGGTTTTTTCTCTCCATTGTCGTACGCCCGCCCTGTTGAGATCGTTTGTTACTTCTTGTAGCCATGTAGATCTTGGTCTTCCACGTCTTCGTTTACCAGCTGGTGCCATTCCAATATTGAGATATTGTCGTAGATGGTCTGATCTCCATATATGTCCTAGCCATTTTGCCCTTTGCTGTTTTATTTTACAAACTATATCCTCTTTAATTTCGTTTAGTAGTTCATGATTCGTTCTTTGTCTATATTGGTTTTCATTAATTTTTATTGGTCCTAATATTGCTCTTAGTATTTTCCTTTCTAGTATTCTAAGGTCTTCCTCTTGTTTTTTTGTCATGCTAAGGGTTTCGGCAGCATACATCATAGTCGGTCGAATTATTGTTTTATATATTTTCATTTTCGATTTTTTGTCAGTAATTTATTTTTAGAAGCGTTTTATTTGCATAGTAGTCTTATTTGCTGTAATTATCCTTTCTTTAATTTCTGTTTCCTTCTCCATTGTTGCTATAATATTCCCAAATACTAAATTTTCTACTTTCAAATAATATTCTCCAGTCTAACCTTTTTGTTTCATATTTTTTGTCAAATCTCATTATTTTTGTTTTTTTCTTGATTTATTACTAATCCCATTACTTTCCCTTCTGCTACCAATTCTTTTAACATACTTTCATTTTTTTTTCTGTTCTTTGTTATTATCACAATATCGTCGGCATATGCTATTATTTGTCCCTCTCTCGTTCTAAGTGTACCTTTGTTGATTTTTCTGACTATATATTCCAGGGCAAGATTAAACAGAGTTGCAGATAATGAATCTCCTTGACGTACACCTTTATTTATAACAAATTCTTCTGTGTCTCCTTCTTGTGTTTTTACAGTTACTACGGTTTTGCTCATTGTCATTTTTATTAATCGTCTTAATTTGTTGTGTATTCTCATTTCTCTCATAGCTGTAAGTAATTTCGCTCTGTTTATTGAATCAAATGCTTGTTGGAAGTCTATAAAAAGCAGTTCAATTTCTATTTTATATCCATAAGCTTTCTCCATAATTTGCTTTACCGTATGTATGGCATCTGTTGTTGACTTTCCCTAATAAATCCGCATTGATACTGTCCCATGATATTTGTTGTCGCTTTGGCCAGTCTTCGTTGTATTAAGGTTGACATGATTTTATACGCTGTGTTTAATAATGTCAGTCCTCTATAATTATTACACATTTGTTGGTCTCCTTTTTTATGGATTGTGATAATTTGTCCTTTGTGCCATTCTTCTGGCATCTTTTCTTCTTCCCATATGACTTTTATTAATTGGTATATTTTTTCTCTGAGTTCATGTCCACCATATTTTATTAGTTCCATGTTTATACCGTCTATACCTGGTGCTTTACCGTTGCGACTACTGTTTATAATTTCCTCTACTTCATCTCTCGTTGGTTTTTCTAGCTCGGTTTCTATCATCGTGGTCTCTTCTTCCACATTTTTATTTAAGTCTTCGTCCTCTTGTACTGTTAATAATTCTTTAAAACAATCAGTCCAGATTTCTTTAAAACTCTTTGTCATTTTCTGATACGTTTCCATTTCTATCCTTTATGCCTTTTATCTTTCCTTTGAAGGTTTTGTTCTGCTCGCTAATTTTCTTATAAAATGCTTTTGTGTTTCTATTTGTGTTTTCTTTTTCTATTTCATTTATCTTATCATTTAACCAGGTTCGTTTAATTTTTCTTATTTGTTCTTACATTCTGTCCTTAATTTGTTGTATTCTTCTTTATATTCTTGTCTATTTGTTCTGATCCACCTTTGTCTTATTTCTATCTTCTTTTTAACATGTTATGACAGTCTTGATTATACCATTCTTCTTTTTTGTTCTTTCTCTCTATCCCTACATGTTCAGAAGCTGTTTCATTTATACATTTTTTTATATTGCTCTATTCTGTTTCAACATCCTCTGTATGTTCACAGTATTCCTTCAGTTTTTTGCTTATATCTTCTGCATATTTAATTCTTCTATCTGTAGCATTTAATTTTTCTATGTACCATTTGTTCTTTGTTGTCTTGTTTTTTAGCGTTCTTTTGACTTTTTGTCTTAACGTTGCGGTAACCATGAAATGGTCTGTGTCTGCATGTGCACCTCTGTATGTTCTCACGTCTGTTATCGATGTTTGCTTTCTCTTTGTGATGAGTATATGGTCTATTTGGGACCATGTTTTTTGCTCTGGTGAGACCCATGTTACTGTTACTGATGACCCACATTATCCAAACGAATTTCGTCAACATGTTTTGAAGATTTTGGACGTACTCCAAGTGGCGTTGGAATATCTGGAGCTGTCAGAAGGGCCTCCACAATTCGCCTGTAAAATTCTAATAAAGAAATTGCCTCAATGCTGCGGTAAAGAAGCCACATGTTGACTATTACCCCATTCAAGCAAAATCTACATATCGCCAATACCATTTTTTAGATCAAATTCGAATCTTATATAAACCTCTTAGCTATCGAATAAGTCTACACCACACATTCCCTTGTTATACATTTGCACAACGTATGGTTAAGGTACCGCTATAATTTGTCTGTCTTTTGTGGACCATTTGTTACAGTTTCCTCTAGTAAATATTTTGGAGTTGAAATATTAGTTGCCATAGTAACTTCATTCGTGTCATTAAAAATTTGTACTGAGTCAAACTGCTATCGTAAAATTGGAGATAACTACACGATGAATCCCATACAACGAGAGCAGACAAGGTTGCATTTTGTCGCCAACATTGTTCAATGTTTACTCGGACCAGATATTTAAAAAAGCACTTGAGAGACAACCATATGGAATAAAAATCAACGGGGAACTACTTAATGTGATTGATAATGAGACGATACAGTAATTCTGTCAGATAATATTCAAGGTCTCCAAATTCTGCTTGATCGTATTCACGAAGTAGGAGAGGAGATGGGAATTAAAATAAACTCAAACAAAACCAAATTTTTAGTGTTTAGTCATGACACACATCCCGATACAAAGCTTCAATTAAACAGGGTCCAAGTTGAGAAAGTTCACATAACATATTTAGGAACTGTGATAACGGACCAACTAGATCTATTCTTCTTCTTAACGTGCCCTATCATGTCACCTTGACGTTGGCTATTAACATGGCCAAACTGTCTCTGTCTCGAGCTATTCTAAAGATCCATAAATATGTAGAATAGCAATGACTAAAACTAATTTTATAAAAATAAACTCATTTCTTTGCAATAGTCATCTCAGTTTATAACTAAGACAAAGAATGGTTAAGTGCTATGTTTGGTCCATACTTTTGTATAGTGCAGAAGTGTGGACGCTAAAAGTATCGATCATGAACAAAATTGAAGCATTGGAAATGTGGGTTCATAGACGAATGCTGAAGATACCTTGGACAGCAAGGAAAACTAATTAAGAAGTACTAAGGAGCGTCAACAAAGATAGGGAACTGCTAAAGACTGTTAAATGATTACTGAACTAAACTCAACTCAGAACACACGTTATTTGTTTTTTTAAAAGCCAGACGATAAACTTTTATTATCGGGCTGGTCGTTATATTTTATTTCGTTTCCCATAAATGCAACGTACTCAAAATGTATAATTAAAGTGTCCATCATATACTGAGGAACACATTTCAATTTTTATTTCATTTCTATCTCTTATGTGTATAACCAATAGCGAAAATGTAAATTTTATATGAGATTGTTTTATTTAATTTTTGAATACAAAAGTTTAATTATTCGTAATAGCTTCTCGTAGTAGTAGTAGCTTCTCGCTGCAGTTGTAAGTAACTTAGGTTGTAAGTGTAAGAGCTTTTTAAATTACTAATGAGACTTAAAATAATTCATAAAGCGAATAGTGTTCATACTTACACTGAACGATCATATATTTCGTGTTTGTCGAGAATATTGAAGGTAAAACAGACACCATCATCCAATATTATTGGAGTAAACCACTCCTTGCACGGAACCTTCAACGACATAAATTTACACTGTTCCATGAAATCTTCCGCTGGTATTTTTATCTGAAACCATATACAAACATAGTAATCACAATTGTTTACAAACTACAACAAGAGTAGTATTTGAGGTATTACTAAGTTCCAGTGTCCTGAACTTAGTAACTTAGTACCTAGTGGACCATTGAAACTAGAAAACTGGCATATTGAAACGGTTGACAAATACATATATCTGGGCCACGAAATACAAATAAGTAGAGACAACCAAACATGCGAATTATCTAGAAGAATAGCTTTAGGATGGGCAGCCTATGCAAGCTAAAAGACGTGTTTAAGGAAAACATCCCAATAAAGCTAAAGAGAAATGCATTTAACCAGTGCGTACTTCCGGTGCTTACTTGTGGAGCTGAAACACTGACATTGACTAAAGCATCAATAAAAAGTTACAAGTAGCACAACGAAAAATGGAAAGATCTATACTTGGCGTAACTTTGAGAGACCGAATACGAAATGATGAGATACGGCGAAGAACTGGAGTGAAAGATGTCATAAAACGGATTACGAAGTTGAAGTGAAAATGGTCAGGACACGTCGCAAGACAGAGAGACAACAGATGGACAAAGAAGATTTTAGAATGGCGGCCAAGGGCAGACAAGCGAAATCGTGGAAGACCACCTACTTACCGGATGGACGGACGACATTAAAAGAATAGTGACAAACTGGATCGCAGCTGCACAGGACAGAGAAGAGTGCAGACATCTTGAGGGGCCTATGTTCGACAGTGGAGAAATTTGGCTGTGTGATGATGGATGATGAGTGTCCTGAACCCCCAAAAAAATAGCCCTGAGTACTTAAAATTTTAAAACCCACTAAGTTAAGATAACAAAAGAACACCTATATCAATAGGTAGCCATAAAAATTATAATTTTTTTAATAACTGAGGTGTTCTTTGCAAATACCCCATTTGTCGTTATTTACAACATTGAAGAAAATTTTGAAAAATATGAAGTTTTTGCGAAAAATTATCATTAATTTGATGGTTGATATGTGACAGCGACCTGAAGCTGTTTACCTCTAAATGTTTTCGGCAAACAAATATTAACACGTAATGTCGAATTTGACCTCGTCCTAATTGTGTTTTAATTTTAAATAAGTTCCCACAAAAATTTGAAGACCCAGCACCTTTAAGGTTTAATTTCGAATCTAGAAGAGAGATCCCATTGGCTGCTATTAAAATCTGGTACGAGAATGTACGATTTTTTACACGAGGAAAAGGAGTGTGCGGCAGTTTAAAATAGAAGAAAAATGGCAGCGACTGAGTAGTAAAATTCGTTTTTGTAAAGTTTAAAAAAAACGGCAAAATTTTTCCTAATTTCATTAGTTTTGGTGAGAAAAAGGTGATTTGAGCTCAAAATGCCATGTGGCAATCTTGTAATACGAGTTTATCACCGTTTGTTGCACACAAACACGAGTAGTCATTCGCAAACGTTTCAATTTTTTACTTATCCCATCTTCAAGTTCAATAATTGTTCACTCCCCGCTTTTAGCCCTTTATAAGCAAATATAACTGTTACAGCTTATAGGAAAAAGGATATTTATAGTATCAAACTAAAATGAAAAATTAATGCAAACTTTTATTTGAAATGTATACAAAGTATGTAACAATATAACACTGAAAACTTTGTTTTCTCCACAAAATTTATTTTAACTCTTGTCACTACAGCTGTCTTCGGCTGATTGCCTTTTTCAAGTGATCTATTTTTGGCATGCGTTTACAATTTATTAGTCTCTAATGAAATATGTTGAGGAGGGGAGAACTGTTTGTCTTAAGTTGGTCATTCAGAATTATATCTGTGTTTTTTTAATTTGTTGATTTCCATAGATTCTAACAAAGATAGCTTAAGGCCTTTATTTTGAATGTGAAGAATTTTAAATTTGTCATTAAAAGAATGATTATGATCTAGAAGGTGAAGTGCGTATGTCGAATCTGTTTTTCTATTATTGAAAGCCCTTTTATGTTCTGCTATTCGTTTATTAAAGTTCCTCCCAGTTTGACCGATGTAAGTTTTTGGGCAGTCGCCCACATTGAAGTTTGTACACACCACTATTGTATACAAAATAGTTAGTCTTCATCACTTACAACACTGCTGTTATCGTTTTAATCTATATTGGTAATCTTTTCAGACTTATGAGCAGATTTTGTGAATAGTTGGTTATAAAAGTTTTGAGTCTCAATTTTAGGATACGTGGGATCATAGCTACGAAATAATTGAAAAAACCAGAAGCTCTTTTCACGGTATTAGGAAGATTCTCTGCCTGGAAGATTCTTTTTTTTTAAGTACTAATATACGTAAAAGAATTCTTAGATGTCACATCTTTAGTGTCTTCTCTCTATAGTTGCCATAAAACGGTTAGAGGCTCTCTTATATACACCACGCATTTAACATAAGTTCAGGAAGAAACAAGTTTTAAGTATCTTTCTAGCAGTGAGATAGAAATTCCAAAGAAATCATGGTTGGAGAGGAGAAGGTTGGATAAGAAATTGCTGTGGAGAGTATTAGTATCAGTATCATGTAAGATCGAAACCTTATTCTTAAAGAGAGTCATATACAATGAATAGTTTTTAATCTTTATACTATATTTTAACTTACAGAATTAAAATTATTAATTTGATATACCAAAGTACATACGCACATTGTATACATACTCGGTTTTCATCGTTCTTGACGTGTGCCTGAAATAAGCTACTACGGAATTTTTAATTTTCGTCTCTCTCTGATACACAGATGCGTAATTCAATTGTGCGAGTTACGTTCGTCACGGTAAAGTGCGATGAGAAAGAGAATGAAGAGACCACTCACGTCTCCCAGTATTGTAGCAATAACACCGATGCGTTTGGCCGATACGGTGTCGGTGATAAGTTCGGCCTCTTTATTAATACAGATAGCTGGCAGTGACGTGTTTTTTTATTTTTGTTATTTGGTTATGTAATTAATTAATAGTTTGAGCTCTTACTGTGTGGAATTCCATTACATAAAATAATACTCTCGACACCTTAAAAATTCCAGTTTATTATAAAATTAACTCTCTTCTTCCGATACTTATTGCAATAATGACTTGTGGCATTGTTCTTGAATGAGCTGGCTAATAGGTTTATAATTGTAGCAATTACCATTGATATTTTATGTTGTTTTAGTCGATTTTAGTCAGTCATTGTTGGAATTTGTTCCGAACAGTTTTACTTATTATTTTTTGTTGTGAATAACCTAATTGTTCTATTTAATAAAAAAATGCCGGGGAAAAACGATAACAGGAGAAATGCGACAAATGTGTAGTTCATTTATATTGGAGTATTTAAAAAAGAAAAAGAAAATAACGGACCTTTGCTTTCGTTATCATCGGTACATCAACGAGGAGCGGACGCTTTTGAAAATCAGTCTTCGCACAGTGACAAGAATAAAGAGTACATACAAGACGGGGGCAGCTCTTACTACACCAGGAGAGTCACGTAATGTACAAAAACAAAGTCTAACGATGTCAGCGATACTATAAAAGGAGAGATTAGAAATGTACTGTATGGCATGAAAGCGAAAGGAGAGCACGTTACAATTAAAGTTCTAAATACGCAATTAAGAAACAAGCATCTCTATGACGGTTCTGATACAAGTTTGTGGCGTCTTATGAAAAATTGTGCGTTTTCATACAAACTAGAAAATATAGACGAGTGCTAGTGTGAGAAACCATGTATTGTCTCCAAACGACTGTATTTTTTTGAGGCATTATATGAGAAATTTTTTAAGTCCAAGCCACTTCAGTTCGTTTTTTTAGATGAAAACATGGATATTCCTAAAGGGGCATATAAACGTACTTGGCAAGATGACTGTGGGAAAAGCATCAAAAAAGGACACGAAACTACAGGTCAAACGCTTTGTTGTTTTACATGCCGGAAGTAGGCAAGGATTTGTTAAAGATGCTGGATTACTGTTTTCTACAAAATCGAAGAGTGCAGACTATCATGATTCTATGGATAAAAAGTCTTTTAAAAAGTGGTCTCCGAAAAGCTGATACCAATGTTGGAGGAACCATCTCTAATTATTATGGATAATGCCTCATACCATAGCTCTTTAATAGAAAAGTTACCGAATGCCAGTTGGAAAAATCGGACTTACAGGAATGGTTACGAGTGAAAAAAAATAATTTTTGACGACGATTCGGGCAAGATAGAGCTATTGAGTGTTTGTCGCCAGAATAAACCACAAAATACCAGGTACAGTTATAGACGAGCTACTCCAAGAACATGGGCATCAGGTTTTGAGAAACTATTGATCGTCATATTGGAGAACATGGACGTGGAAGATGAAACAGTGAAAAAAGTTTGGGGCGATGCATTAGCTGAGGTAACACCTGCAGTATGGGCCAGTTGTGTTAACCATACTGAAAAATTAATTCAGGACGACTGGGCAAAAATGGTCACATATGATGAAAATGAAAGTAGGATTATCATCGATTTGGTGGAAGATTCCAATGATGAAGACAGTTCCAGTGAAGACGCTGACTGATTAGCTAATTAATCAAGGTCAGTACGTTGTAACAGTTCAGAATTCGCTACAGTGCTTAAAACTTAAAAAATCTGTATCATTTTTTAATTAAAGTGGGTTAAATAATTAACACTTTTTTGGGTATATTTCAAAATCCTTTTTAAAATGCACTTTTCGTTATATCCTGTCCTATTGTACTGCAAGCTAGAAAAATACTTCTTCGCAATTTATACGTATATTCCGTTATTAGAAATTTAATGAAAAATAATTTATAATTTTCTTTTATAACTATTATTTCGTTTGACATGCTACATTTTGCTCCGCCACTGGAGGAGGTAAACGAATCGAGCTTAGACAAGGAAAGACAGATGAAACAACTTATTGCAAGTGTTTTTACACGCACACGCCAAGAACGATGAAAACGATTATACGCACATTTGTTTTACCTCGATAAAATTTAGTTTGAAGAGTTTTGATACAAGAAAATGTAAATATCTTTTTAGTTGAAAGAATTATACTGTACCTCATCTAAAGCTTGATAGAAATCTTCAGTAAAATACGTTTCATTTGGAAAATACTCATAGTCAGTGTCACAAACGTATGATATATACTTACCATACCGTTCTCTAAAATGATAAAAAAATATGAGGAATCTAAAACAGTATTTAGAAACATATATTCAAATATCCAAGATTAAAATAAAAACGTTATTAAAGAATTTAATTAAAACGTATGCTAGTACAACTTGGTTGAACTTAATAACTCATTAATTTTAATAACATTTAATTTAGTTAACTCATTTATATTAAGATCCCCTCGTATATGTATTCAATTGAAATTCCCTCATATATGCATTAAAATAACGAAGCATTTTTTCCATGTTTCTCAGTTCCTATCTTTCAAGTTAAAATCCAAATGTATTTCGTTCATTTTACGTCGCCAAGTCGATAATAAACCATTTTATTATTTGTTTATGTCAAAGGCGCAAATTCTTCGATATTTTTCTTTGATTGGAACCGCTCGATAATGCGTTTTCAAATTAATATTTTGCGTTTCAGTTCCCGTTGTAAGTGTTTTGTTTATTCCAACTTATGCGAATGAATTTTAGAAGAAATTGCTCACTATCGCTTGAGGCGTGGTCAAGAGCGGTAGGCTTCAGCATTATGTCCAAATTCTACGTCGAATTTGTAATATTTTCACTTGTGATCAACAGGTCCTCGAAGACACTTCGTCTCAGGACCATTTTACCTATGTAGGGTCATACGTCGCCATGTTACCAATTCCAACGGTAACTCAAACATCATAATTTGTAACAACATATAATGTAAATCAAATGTAAATTTGTATCATTTAAAGGGTTTGGACCCATATATTTTGGTGGCTCATAGCATGTATACCTCGTTTGCACTGATGATGGATTTAATAATCCGAAAACGTTTTGCAATATCCTTGTGATAGCCCGTTTGGGCGTTTTATTATATACCTTTTATAAAGGATTTTAAATAAATTTTTTGTGATATATGGTATACAGCCAGCTACAGGAACTTAGTTTCCTAGTGGAAGGAGTATAATACTATAAAAAATAATATAATAATAAAAAATAATATAATATAAATAAAAAATAATTCCCGTAAAATAATAAAGGAATTATTTATTTGAAAATTAATTTTGGGGTATTGGAATAATAATTAGATATACGAGAAATTAGCTTAGTAATATTATGATGTTTAATTAATAAACTTACTTAAATAGTGGTTAAAGAAATAATTATAAGTTATATACTAGCGAATATTATTAAAAAATTAATTATATGAGGGTATTTTTGAAAATTTAGCATAGGATTAAGTTTTAAAAGTTTTTATTTTATTTTATTCTATAAATAAATATATTTAAGTGAGCCTTGTGCATAGGCAACCAAATATACACTGTGTTATTTGACATTTTTACATATTTGACATATTTATTAGTTTGGGATTTTAATTTAAATATAATTATGGATGTAAAATAGTAGTATATTAGTGTAAGATATTTAGTTTATATATATATAATAGTGAATTCTGATCTGAAAAGCCTAAATGTCCATAAGATTCTCACTAGAATTTTCTGGAAAACGTCAATACACAAGACAATTAGCCCTATTTGCATAGTAGATGATTCCAGAACTTTCATCTATGGATGAGATGAAAAGTTTAGAACATGATTTCTTTCCCGATCATTCTGGAACCATGAAAAGATATATAAACGATGTAATTTGGAGCAAGCATTGATTATTAAGTAAGTTACAGTTGATTCGTGAAGTTAGTAAAGTTAGAAGAAGGCATTAAGTTACAGGAAGTCATTAAGTTACAGTCAATTATTCAGTTACAGTCAATTATTAAGTGAGTTATTTAGAAGAATTCAAGAATTAAGTTACATTAAGTCAGTCAGAAATTAAGTTACAGTTACTAAGTCAGTTACAGTCAATTATTAAGATAGTAGAAGGCATTAATTAAGTAAGAAGAAGTCAGTCAGTCAGTTACAATTGATTAAGTGAGAAGAATTCATGAAGTGATTAAGTTAAATTAAGTTAGAAAAAAGGATTAAGTGAGAAGAAGTCAGTCAGTCAGGTACAATTAAGTTATTAAATTAGATTTATCAAGAAAGTTAGTTCAAGACAGTTATAATTAAATTAAATAAGAAGAAAGGATTAACTTAGAAGAATTCATTAAGTCAGATACAGTTGGAGAGATAAATTAATTCAATATAGATAGTTCAATACAGGAGTATAGTATATTATATGGAAATTACAAGAATTTTAAATTATAATATCTATATGCAATTTCACAAATACAAGGATAACCGAGGCTGATTAAGAAGATATTTAGTGGTGATTATAACTTTGATTTTGGAAAACTTTAGGCGTTCAGTGATAGAAAGGTACCAAATTTTGTTAATATAATTTAATAATTGTAAGAATTTCAAATTTTAGATAGGTTGTTTTAAATTTATATTGTTTATATTAGATATATATGTCTGTTTCATAATAGTTATAATAAAGATAATTTAAAAAAAGTACTTACAAACTAATTCTTTGAGAACCGCGATAAAAACCCTATACTCATATATTTTATTTTAAACACTCATTGCTCATATACAAAACAAAACATCATAACAATATATATATATATATATATATATATATATATATATATATATATAATTATATTTACCACCCCAACAAAAAGTTCATCCCTTGTCCGATCAATTAAAGACAACATTCCAATGAACAGCACGGAGTTTATGAAATTCCTTGTACAGACTGTCCCCGATTTTATATAGGCCAAAACAAATCGTAGGATCCAAAATAGGATTTATGAACATTACATTTCTGTTCGAAATTCCGATTCAATTTCAGCTCTAGGTGAACACCATCTTCATACAGGTCACAAAATTGATTTTGAAAACTCCAGAACCATAGCCTCCATTTGCTTCTGTAAACCAAGAATTATCCGAGAAGCCATAGAAATTGAAAAAAGACCAAATTGTGAGACCTCTCATAAAAAAAATTTTGTCCGCCTTACCCGCTAATCAAAACCCTACTGTCAGAAATGTTCGACCCAACCTCTGCCCCAATCTAGCTCCAATTCCCCCGACGGTATAAATGAACAGTCCTTTGTTCCCAGTAGCAGTAATACATTGGTTAGTGATCAGTGTAGTAGTGTCTGGGGGCTCGGGAGACTGAGACCTCGAAAGTCCTGAAGAAGACATCAAAGAAGATGTCGAAAGTTCGACGCAATGATAATCGACGCGGTTTAATCCGGAAGGCTGTTGAGTTTAATATTAATTCTTGTAATAATATTAATCTTAGCTCTATGCTTAATTGTACCAATCGCGGAAATGTTTCGGAACATATATATGAATATGAGACTTACTCAGTGCTTGTCAACTTCTCTTTGACCTTCATCTTTCTTGAAAAATCAGTAAAATTAAACAGCCTTTTCCGTGCTATTGTCGTAGGGCAGATAGTTACAGCAGGAAATGGAATCGTATAGATTGGTGACTCTTTCGTTGCAAATGATACTATTACAGGACTTTCGGTGTATTTAGAATATATTTGGCTAATGAGATAACCACAGCCCATGAAAGCCATCGTAATCAGCGATATCCATAACAACCTAAAACAAAAGGTGAAGAGTTATTATACAGAAGAATTTTTGTCTTTTTTAGTAATCTTTTGGGTAATAGTTTGGAGACGTATCTCTTACCGATTCTACATTTAATTCTATATATAATAACTAGACTTATGTAGATATGCAAAATGCATATATTGCATATTTTATGCAAATATCTGGAGATATTGCATATTTACATAAAAATTGCATAGCATGCATAACGTTTTTTACGATTATCTTAATAGAATCGTAAAAAATGACAAAAATCTTCAGGAGACTACCTCCACGCTGAAGACCAAATACATTGGAGATCATCGCCTTTATAATATTCGTAATCAGTAACCCTAAAAACGTCCGAGAAATGACTTTTTGACTAATTTTCGATAAAAATACCATAAAATCTAGAAGACGAATTCCACACAGGGCTCTAGGCAGCTCTAGAATCATCGATGTTATAATATTCTTGTTCATCGACCTCGACAATCTCCAAGTAATGACTTTTGATTGATTTCGAATGAAAATAACATGTCTTTAGAAGACGAGGTTTTATCTTGGGCACCAGGTAGTTCCAGGATCAATCGTTCTTATAAAAATCGTGTTTAATGACCTTGAAAACCTTCCAAGTAATAACCTTCGACTGATTTCGATTGAAAATAACACAAAACTCTAGGAGACGAGGTCCACCTTGTACACCAAGTAGATCGAGGACCAACGTCGTTATCATATTTGTATTCAGTAACCTCGAAAACCCATGAGTTTCGAATGCGAGAGGGGTTTTAAGGGGAATCCTGGGGTAAAGAGTGGAAAACTTTTTTGGATCATTTTTTTGGATCCCAAAATTGACATTCATGTAATTCAGCTTGTTCGTCTCATTTTTAGAGATCAAATCTGTGACAACTGGACTATGATATGACATTATTTTGTCAGGTGGGTCAATAAATAAAAATAAATCCGTTCCAAAAATGATTTTCCTTGTAAAAATTAACGAGCCGGAAAATGATTAATTTTATTATTGTCATTATTAATTACGAGTTACTTTATTGTGACAAAACATTTGACAAAGCTATAATTATAGTTTACTTGAAGGTGGCGGGATTAAAGTAGATGATTAATTATATATAGTACAAGTTTGCCAAGAATCTTGCATGTCTATTAATTGAAGGTGTTGAGCAACGCTTCATAAATATAAACTATTCAAGACGCCACCATACATTTTTCATGCACTTATATTTGTCTGCAGTCAGTAACAATAGGTTTAAATAAGTATTTTAGAAGTGGTGTTTCAGAGCTCAACTATTTCTTGGAAAAACATGTCAAATGTAACATTGATATCAAAATTATTAACTTGATTTAAATTTAAATATATAAACTGTTCCAATCAAATATTTTTTGCTCTTGGATAAATATTGATCATCTTAACTTAGCATCACCAAAGTAATCATTCCTGCAACTTTCTTCTTAAAATTCATCGATACGTTTTTTGTAATCAATAACTCCACATCTTTCTTTTTCTTAGCTGATTGACGTATAACGTGGGCATTGTCACAAATTGTTTTTATTCATTTCTGTTTTTGAGGGATCCAGGGAAGTGGACAAGTTCTATTTAATAGATATTTAGAATCTGAAAGAATCATGGAACAATGCCATCATGGTAATCATGCATAATAAGGGCAAACCAACAAATCTTAAAAATTAACAGTCCGATCAATCTTCTCTCCCATATTTATATATTGCATAAATTATTCATAAAGATATTAACAAAACTCAGATGAACTCCCAATCTAGATTTATAACAATCAAGAATCCTAAACATCAAACAGGTTTCAGACTCGATTATCCAGTTATCCAGTACAAACTGAAGAAAATTAATTAATCAAATCTAAATAAAGCAAAGCGGGGTTCCTACCCCCTACCCGCGGGGTAGCAGGTAGGAACTCCTTTGGATAGTCCTATCAGGGAAAATGAATCAATCCCTGCCCTCCGCAGATTCCAGGTGTTTCCAGACCCGGGAAACTAGTACCTGCTTAGGATCCCTTGTCCAAGGTCACGGATGAATTCCACAACGGCAGCCATAGCGGAGAAGAATACCTTCGGCACGGTATGAAGGGCGGAAGTGGCAATCACTTGATTTTAGGGATTGTATAAAATCACTCACCAACCCGTCTACCCAGCGTGGTGTTTAAAGGCTAACAGGAATATGGCGATATATAAAACAAAAGAAATGAGTCCCCAGGTGGGTAGACCATACAGTAATGCAAATTCCTCTCCTTTGGAAAAATGGACAGCTTCATGGAATCTGGGGGGAAGCAAGAAATCGCTAAAAACCACACGATTGAACATCGCAACTCTAATATAAGGTCATTAAGTAAAGATGACGGGTAGTGGGTAGGAACTCCTTGGAATTCCTTGGATAGTTCTATCAGGGAAAAATGAATCATTCCCTGCCCCCACAGATTACAGGTGTTTCCTGACCGGGAAACTAGTACCTGCTTAGGGTCCCTTGTCCAGGGTTACGGATAAAGACTACAACGGCAGTCACGGCGGAGAGGGAGACCTTCGGTACGTCGAGGATGGCGGAAGTGGCGACCCCGGATTTTAGGGTTTGTATAGAATCAAGCAGCGTCGGATCCAGAATGGGCGGCTGAAAGTGCAGGTCCTCCAAAGTGGGGGTTTTGGCGTCAGGCTTTAGCATCCTGGCACATGCAAAAACAACAAAGGACGAAAGTACAAGAAGCAGGATGAAAAATAAAAATATAGTTTCCGGGTGGTAATCCACACCCATCGGATATTGGTAAGAGAAGCCCAGTCTTAAATTTCAGCCAACGTCGAAAAGAGAAACAGAGAAAGAGGGAAATCACGTGTAGCACCTGGAACATCCAAGGATGACGAACTAAGGACAAAGAGTAGAGGAATTTAAGAGGATGAACCTTGATATTTTGGTAACAACTGAGACCAAGAAAAAGGGAAATGGTACACAATTTGTAAATGACATCTTCTACTGTTGGAGCGGGAAAAAGAAGGAAGAAAGAGCAGCTGCCGGAGTGGGGATACTAGTCAAGAAAAAATAGATAAAAACAATAAAAACATGGTAAAACGGAAGAACTAGTAACGAAATAGATTACATACTGTGTAACAAAATAGATAATCATACAATACATAACAGTAATAAATACGGCGTTAGTAATAAGCGATCATCGAATAGTTAGAGCCAAATTAGAGTTACAACATACTTAAAATAGGAATAAATTTAGAAAAACTTGGAATATAGACACAGATAAACTAAATCTAATATAGAACAATATAAAAGTTAAAACCCGCGAAAGTACTAAATCTAGATAAACTTAGCTTAAATGAGATCAATAAAGTCATAACAAAAGAACTATTAAACGCAAGCTTAGAAATGGCAACCGCTAACAGAAAACGATAATCACAAAACATGCTGAAACAAAGAAAAGATCTTCTGAGACAAAACAAAAGAGACACTGCAGAATTTAAGGAACTTAATCGAGTAATAAGAAAACAGATAAAATAGGACATTAAAAATATCAAGAAGACCGTATAGAACAAATCATAGAGAAAAACCGAAGTCTCAAGTGCACCAAACCGAAACTGAGAAAAAAAATATAATAACCGTTCAAAATTAACAGGGATAACTAGAAAAAAATAAATCTAATATTGCAAACTCAATTGAAAAGTTCGATGCCTATCTGTACCGTTCCTGAAACGATCCCCCTAACTCCTCAAAGCAAAACTTAAAAACTCAGATAACAAATTTTAACTCAGAAGTGATGCCCGAAATAATCCACGAAGAAATAGAAAGAGAAGTAAAAGAAATAAAAAGGAATAAATCTCCTGGAAGTGATGGAATCCTAGCTGAAATGCTGAAGGAAGGAGGAGAAGAAGCCTTCACATAATATGTGATTTAGATATTATCAAAAAATACTATTTAATAAATGTCTATTCCAAGGCAACATACGCGAACAATGGAACACTAGCTAAAACAATACTAATACACAAAAAGGAAGACACCACAGACCTGAAAAATTATCGACCAATTTCACTTCTTTCACAACTTTACAAAACCTTTACAAAGATTATTACAAACAGGTTAACAATTAAATTTGACGGAAATAAATTAGTAGAACAAGCCGGATTTAGAAAACGGTACGGCACCTGTGACCATCTATATACTTTGAAAATCCTAATAGAAAAGACTAACGAATACAATCTAATATTATGTCTGGCTTTTACATTAGTTATATTTTCAGTCAGACCGTCATATTTTCAGTCAGAACTTAGGTGTAGTGATCAACAGATCCCAAAAAGGAAAAATAGACAGTGCATAGAATTAAGTTAATATTATTAGTTTTTGTAAAGTTAGTTAAATAGATAATGAACACTCAATCATCCTTTAAATATTAATTGACGAAATTTTTATAATACACCCTCCCCTCAAAAAACTTTCATCTCTTGTCTGATCAGTCAAAGACAAAATTTCAAATCATCAACATGAAAGTTTATGAAACTCCTTGTGTCGACTGTTCCTTCTTACCTATTTTACATAGGTCAAACCAATCGTAGAATCCAAAGTAAAATTTATGAGCATTCCATTTCTCTTCAGACTTCCCTGGTGACTAATGATGATTTAGTGTTAGTCGAAAATACTGAAAGAGATTTTAAGCAAAGACTAGGACAATGGAGACAAACTTTTGAGGAGAAATAAAAATGCACGACAAAAAAACAACTAAAGAGATTAATAAAGAGGATTGTGTCAAATCATAGCGAATGAAAAACACTTAGAAAAACCTGGATATAGGAAATATCACAATCAACGAATTGCATGAATACTTATATATACTTATATTGTCTTATATGGATGATTTTCTTACCTTTCTCCCAAAGATCTTTCTTCGGCCAGATATTTAAATCCATGGATACTGGTACTATTACAATATTCTTTAAAGTATGTGTAGGTGCTCTGGCATGTACTCTTTTTTGTACTCTTTTCGCGGCTGTCTATTCTGTGATCATCCACTTTAGATTCCATCTAAATAAAGCGCCACTACAATTTGAAAGGCTAGTAATTTTAGCGACTAACTTACCAACTGCTATAATGAGTTTACTCGCTAATCAGAATTGAAATGTTGCTGAAATTCTATATCGGCACGCGAGTTTTCTTTAGGCCAGTTCAATATCGAATCAGTAGAAAATTTGTAATTTATGGCGTTAATACCAAAATATCATTTTTGTTAAATGTTTTGATCTATTTGTTTGAAAACATATTTATAAAAAAAATCTGCGGCTTGTTTGTAAATAAAAATTGTTTATATGTTTATAATGTTCCGAAAATAAGGTATGTTATCGGTTTTATCGCAAAAACCTTATTTCCGACATTGGTGTTAATTAAAAATTATTAGTCGCAGTCTATGAAAATTAGATAAACAAAATCTTTGTTAGGAATATGTACAGTGCTTTGATGTTTTATTTATCTTGAAGATTTAAAAAAAATCTGATTATATCTCTACAACTGTTTACTCTATTATACAAAACCGATGAACAACAGTCGACAACAAAATATCAATATACAGTCTGCTCTATTCTTATTTTAAATGAAAAGGTAAATTTAGTTCTCGAAACCATAGAACTAAATAGTGCACAGCACTACAAAACTACCATTTTAATATCTTCTTCTTCTTCTTAGCCTTGAATCGTTCATTTTTGGACATAGATCTCTCCCAACTTCTTCCATCGATTTCTATTCTGGCTGGTTTGTTCATATTTGTCTTGGTTATAGTCCAGGTTTGACATCCATATGTCATAATAGGACGAATATACCTACTACTTGAATAGTTTACTCCTCAAGTATTAAGATATTTTGCGGATTTTAAATATCCAACTGAGTTTTCCAAATCCTGACCATGAGAGTTCTACTTTTCTAGTAATTTCAGTACTTTGGTTCCCTTTGTCAAGTTTCAGAATTTGGCCTAGGTAGATATATAGGTATGTACCAAGGTCAGAACTATGGGAGGAAATGTGCCAATTTGAAATACAGACAAAACTCATAGAAGCTACAAAAGCTCTGTATAAAGAAAATAAAGTGTCCATAGGACAAACAAGAACAGTATTCCGACAACTTAACTTAGTATGGTGGGAAAGACACCTAAATATGAAGACAAAAACACACATTTATAAAACATTAGTGCGAAGTATTATGACATATGAGGCTGAAAATTGGATTATAAACAAGAAAAACAGCAGTAATATAGTAGCAACATAGATGGAAGTCCTGCGAAGATGCTGCAGAATAATAAGAATACATTGGAGAAGTAATGACGAAATAAAGCAAAGAACATCAATAAAAACAGATATACCAACATATATAGAACAAAAAAGACTAAAGTGGTATGGACATGTAAGAAGAACTAGAGCAGATGGATAAAGAGAATAACCGAATGTGAGCCCTATAGGAAGGTAGGCAAAGAAGGACGACCCCGAAGATCCTGGAGAACAAAGTAGACGAGGTCATGAGAGAAGAGAGGCTAAAACGATGGAGAATGGTCAACAGAGAGAGATGGAAACGAGTTTGAACGAGAGAAGGCAGTGAATATTGTAAAATCTATAAATAAATAAATATATATATATTATATATACTATATATAATATATATATGTAGATATATTCTTGGACTTGCCATTTTTCATTGCCATTGACGTTTGCTAGCTCCTCCACCAAAGGTTGTAGTCTTTAAAGTTGTCGAACTCCTCTCTTAATGGGGATAGGATTTGTATTTTCATCTAGTTGTACTATCATAGTTGCGTTTTCATATATATTATGTACTTATTAGTTGCTATAGCTCAGATCTATTTTACAATCATTAATACCTTATTCTATGGGCCACATCTCGATATTGTCAAATGCCTTTTTATATTCTACGAAGGCAAGAAATATAGGTAATTAATATTCTTTTGTCTTCTTAATCAATGTTTTTATTATCAGCAGATGATCTGACGTACTTTATTCTTTACTGAGGCAGCCTGCTTTACCAGATAGTAGTTATCGAATTTATACACCAAATAGCATAATGTAAAATTAAAAAGAGTTCTTAGAAGAGACATTTCACATAATCATCATTAATTAATAACTACAAAATGAGAATAAAACTAAAGTAAACACAATACCACAGCATTAAAAAAAGCAATTCATTTTGATAAACTGTGAGATGCAGAAGTACGAGAAGTGATAAATGAAATTGACAACTATTGAAATAGAAAGTGAAAATATTACAATAGACTACAGATACTAATGACGTCATCTATCAAAGATACGCAATTGGCATGGTCATACCAAAGATCTAAGCCTTATCTTAAATAACAAAACTCATCTAAGACAAATATGAAAAACAGATGATCAGCAAGGTCATAAATAGCCTCATAAAATAGTTTGCAGGATCTTTGCAGGAGGGAACTCACGATGTTACCAAAACCCAAAAATCTTAAGGAATACGGAAATAGTGAAAGCAACTATCAATTAGAAATCAAGTAACATGAAATAACTCAACAAGTTAAAAACACCAGCTTGTGTATTTATTACAGGTACAATAAGAAGATACCCATTCGATTACCATAAAACAAATCCTTGGTATCACAACTCTATATATCCTAGTAAGGAGCTTAAAATAAATATTACGTATAGGATCAGCAAATAAGGAAAATATTAGACCCATAAATGCGGTATTAACTTTACAACCAATACCGAGAGTAATGTTACTACAATTACAAGTCAACCCCATCAATATAAAACATCATCCAAGTTATGCTCTCACAACAGACAAGGAGAAGAAGAAGTTTTATTAGAAAATCAACAAAATCATACAGAAAATTCCACGATAGGAAATTTTCATCAATATGGGTGATTTTAATGTCAAGCTTGGAAATGGATATAAGACACAGAACATCAGAGCACATGGATTGGAGTCAGAAACGAGAGAGTAGACTTCCTAGAAAAATTTGCAAAAGACTCAAAACTAGTTGTCACCAACACGGTGACTACTAGTAATATAATAGCAACAATCACTAAGATTCAAACTCCTTCAACAAAAGAGGGCATTAATCAAAGACTTTCTCTCTTGGTAAAAGGGAAGAATGCTGCGATGCTACGTCTTTATTATACTTTTCATAGTATTGAATCGTGAATTTTGAACTAAGATATATGCAGAAAATTTGAAGCATTTGAGATGTAGTATATCGTAGAATACTTAAAATCTAATCGACTGACCGAGTCATGAATGAGAAGATCTTCAGAATAATGAAAAAGAATCGAGAGGTAGTGACCACCTTCTCGAAATCTCGAAAAGCTACAGTACTTTGGATACATTATGCGGAATGAACCCCGATATGCCCTCCTAGCAGTCATTCTGCAAGTAAAAATATTTGAAAACCGAGTTCCAGAAGGATGTAGAACATCCTGGTTAAAGAGCCTCAGAACCTGGTTCAACACAGTATATCTGCAACACTTTCCTCGCTGCTACAGCCAAGATAAAGATTTCCATGATGATCTCCAAACAGTCATCGCGGATAGACATCACCAAGAAGACCTCATTCTCCATTCAAATATGAAAAACAATATTAAAACATGTTCCAAGATAATATACCAAAGAAGTATAACTTTTGAGATAAATTTACTTTCAAAAGTTACGTTTTATAATAACCACATAAAAACTTCCGTGAAAGGGCTGCCCACTTTCTATCTAACTTTTAGAGTATTTCTTCTTCTTTCGCGTGCCATATCAGAACTATCCGACGTTGGCGATCACCATTGCGAAGGCTTCTCGATCTTCTGCAATATGGAATAATTGTCCGGCATTTGGTATTTCGTATGAGTCCATTCATAAATGTTTTTTTAACCAAGAAACTTGTTTTCCTTCCTATACCTCTACGGCCCTCTATTTTGCTTTTCAGGATTAGTTGTAATATTTTATATAGGCTTCCCCTTACTGTGTATCCCAGACAAGAGTATAATATAAGTATTTACTACTCTAAATAAAACTATTCTCATGGGTAATTTGAGCTGTAGACATACCCAATTTGGAGATCAGCAAAACAATCCAGAAAGCATCTAATTAAACGGATATACTTCTAGGCCTTCCAATTATAAGAAGCTCAAACACAGATTACCGTGAACACCATGAACACAGACTGTCGTTACTGATAGCGTGATGCATAGATTCGATGATTGGTGCCACCTAGGCGACTCAATAACGTCCGATTATTTCTCAATTCTGATTAACAATTTATATCGCCTAAACCTCCAGGTCCCTCCAAACAAATAAGAGAAAATAGAAGCGTAAAATGGCCACTATTCACGACATATATCACAAATAACATTCCAGAGTTAGGCAAAACTCGATACAAACGAAAGTTTTGACCAAAGTGCTATTCAAATTAAGAACTTCGTCGCTGAGGCAATCAATCACTCCATCCCAATAAAAACAATACAACCTTTCTCTCCGACACTTCCACAATACATCATTGCCAAAATTCAATAAAAAATACGGAGCTAAAAGTCGAAGGATTCAAAAATTCACTTCACAATAATTTTCAGTCCAAAGACAACCCAAACTTTGATTGCTTATTTAATCTCAACACCGAATTCATAGTAATAACCACGCTCACAGCACCCAAATTCCAGAATAATGATCCGATGATGGACCCTATTACTGACAGAGAATCGGAGAGCTATTGCCAAATAAGGCAAAAATAACTCTTCCGGACCTGACAATATTAATAGAAGGTGCGTCAAAACAACTTCCAGAGAGTATCATCCTGCTTTTAACAAAAACTATTAATGCATGTCTCAAAAATAGCTACTTTCCTACTCCATGGAAGGTAGCTAACACTATCATGATACCCAAATCGGGTAAACCTCGAACTAATGTGGAATCATACAGACCAATATACCTTAATAAACCACTTTAGGAAAAGTCCTCTAGCTTGTCATCAAAGAGAGACTTAAACAACTTCTCTCGAAACCCATAACATCATCCCAAAATTTCAGTATGAATTCTATTCTAATAAAATCTA